CGTAGTGAAGATTCAAGTTTGTTCAAATCATGACCCCAGGGGGGAGGACGGGGCCACAATGAACGATCAAAGTTTTACATAGGAATATATAGGAAAAATCTTCTTGAGAACAGCAAAAACATGATTGGTCATATTTATATGGAAGCATCCTCAGGTAGTGTTTGTTCAAATCATGACTCCCGGGGGTAGGGCGGGGTCACAACAGGACGATCAAAGTTTTACATAGGAATATTTAGGAAAATTCTTTAAAAATCTTGATTGGTCTTGTTGATATGGAAGCATCCTCAGGTAGTTTTGATAAAGATTTGTTAAAATCATGACCCTCCAGGTTTGGATGGGACCACAAAAATACATAATAACTTGTTGGGAAAAAAGCCACAGTTAGTCAAAAAATATGTAAGCATCCTTAGTTAGTGTAGTTTCAAGTTTGTATTGATTCAAAGTTTGTTCAAATCATACCCCCACCCCCATTTTTTATGATCCGGACCACTTACTACAGGCATTTACTGAATTGATTATCCCTAGCGCTCAAGTGAGCGATGTGGTCCATCAGCCTCTTGTTTAATTTTCTGTTTAACAGGAATTTTAAAGAAAATTCGGGTCGAGGGGACGAAATGAAAATAAAAATAAAAGACCAATTTTTTTCGAGTCGACACCAAAAAAAAAAAAAAAATGAATAAAAAAAAAAAAAAATAATAAAACCCAAAATTGATATGTTTTTCATACAGATTAACAGCAATAAAGCAAGAAGCCAATGGATCACATCGCTCACCTGATAAACTTTGACCATAATGTTCTTTACCTTGTATTCCAATTGTGACCCTGCCCTACCCCCGTGGGTCATGATTTAAAGAATTTAAAATTTACACTACCCTTGAATGCTTTCACACTATTTTTCTGTCTCATTGATTCTTGAGAAGACGTCTTTCAAAAATTTGTCAATATATTTCAATGTAAAACTTGGATTCCCTATTATGGCCCTGTCCTACCTTATGCCTTAGGGTCATGATTTTCACAATTTAGAATATACCCTAACTCAGGATGACTCCAGATAAGTTCAAGCTTTTCTGGCCATGTGGTTCTTGAGAAGGAGATTTTTTTGAAAATGTTCCTAAATATTTCAATGTAAAATTCGGATTCAAGATTATGGCCTAGTCCTATGCCAAGGGGTCATTATGTAAATAATTTAGAATGTACACAATTTCAGAGAGCTTTCACATAAATTTCAGCTTTTCTAGCCCAGTGGTTCTTTAAGAAGATTTTTAAAGATATTTCTATTATATTTAAATGCTAAACTTGGATTCCAAATTGTGGCCCCAACCTACCCACGGAGGTTATGATTTTTACAATTTAGAATCTTCATGTACACTACTTAAGGATTATTCCACGTAAGTTTCAGCTTTTCCGACCCAGTGGGTTTTTAAGAAGAATATTTTAATGACCACACTATATTTTTCTCTTTTCTTGATTATCTCCCCGTGTGAGGGATTTGGCCCTCAATTTTAACAATTTAAATTCCCCTTTACCCAAGAATGCTTTGTACCAAGTTTGGTCAAAATTGGCCCAGTGGTTCTTGAGAAGAAGTCAAAAATGTAAAAAGTCTACAGACGGACGGCCGACGTACAAAATGTGATCAGAAAAGCTCACTTGAGCCTTTCACTCATGATCAGGTGAGCTAAAACCTCTGGCCCTAGTATAACAGATGCTCCACATACACGATCTAATTCATCTTCTCTATTTGACGTATATATATAATTCAAAATCAAGAGACAAAGCATTCATAATCGTTAAGCTGATTGGAAAGTAAGTACCTTTTCTTTGTTAGATGATTTTTTTATTTTTTTAAATTGCCAAAAATAAATGACAACTAGTATTAATTTCATAAAGAAAAATAATAATGCTTCAATATTATGAAAAAAAAAACAAAGTTGTTGAATCGCGATACCTCGAATGTCATGATTATATATAGAAGCTTGAATTCATCAGAGTTTACATCACTTTTTACGTATGTTTAACCTCCATATCTTGAATTTTGGGATATCTCGACGATTCCCCTTGGTTCAATCGAGTTGAACATTATCATTGTGTAAAATCATTTATTTAGACTATACGAGGGTTGTCCAAAAAGTTCGTGGACAATGACGTTTTTGTGAAAATAAATGGTTCTATATAAATCTTTTGTATATCAAAATATTTCTTATGAAAAAACAAATCAGAATGATTTAATTTTTATTTATGGAACGTAATATTTTTGTAAAAATCGGGGTCTTTAAAGGTCGCGGATAGTGCGCACGGACCAAGGTTAAAATGACAAAAACTCTGATATAAAGTGTTCGGATTAAAATGATTTTTTCTGTATAGGACAAGTCAAAAATTAATAAAAATTTTATGTAACACTAATAAAGAGGCTATAATCATTTTATGATATCTTAAGTATCGCTTAGTATATAGACAGTGCAAATACTAAACAAAAATCCTGACAAATATGTGTCAAAACTCGACAAATAAAGCGAACGTCAGCCGTCCGCACGGGGCAGCGTCCGATCAAAAAAATAAGTTTTTATTCGGTTGAAACGACGTAAAAGACAAAATATTTGTTAAAACAACTCAAAATTATTGAAATATATTTAGTGTATCAATTTCAGAATGGTATATACGATTTTTCAACGGTGTTTACAAATTCGAAGACACTACAAGAATTTAAAAACACATGTAATTTACTGAAAATGGAGATTTCTATTCATGACGTTGTTATAAATCAAAGCGCAGCGTCGGACTGGGCTGTGCACTTTGTGCATACAAACTGTTTATTTAGATGACACTCGCAAATTTGTGTGCATTGTTTTGAATTTTAAAAACTGAATGAATTATAATCTTTACTTAAAGATTATTGCTAGCACTTGGAAGTGCAGTGCGCCTTAAAAAAGAAATGAAGTCTGTGTGTCCATGAACGTGTGTTAAGTCAAAATCCAAATGTTTGACGTTATAATGAAATTAGCTTAACGTCAGACTGGTCCGTGCAAACAATCTGTGATCTTTAAAGACCTCGATTTTTACAAAAATATTAAGTTTCAACAATAAAAATAAAACCATTCTGACTTAATTTTTAATAAGAAATATTTTGATATACAATCGATGCATATATAGAACCATTTATTTTGACAAAAACGTCATTGTCCACGAACTTTTTGGACAACCCTCGTATGTGAAGTTAATTCATTCCATGTAATCATACAGAATTCGCATTATAATTATAATACCACATACCTTTGCCTAATGTTACTAACATTTTCACCAGAGTATTATAGTGGAAAAATAAGGAGATAACGAACGATACTGTAGTATAAAAGCTCAATTTTGAGAAGGACAAACACGGACCTCTAAAAACATATAAAACAATCTATTGAGCAAGACCATTGTATCTTACTATGCAAATGGCGGTGCAAAAGCAATTAATTTGACTAATACGAAGGGCATTCAAAAAATTCGTAGACTTTTGTCATAACTTTTTTATTTATCGTCATATTTAAACCAAAATTGATACATATATTTTAACAACAGATTCAAATATTTTGAGCAAAGAAATTGGAATATATCTTGATGTTTGTCTCAAAGATTTAGCAAAAATGGGGTCACGGAGCAGGGTCAATATTGAGTTATTGACTGATTATTCGCTTTTCATATCTATAGCCATACCTCTTTAAAATTGTCCTTAAATGAAATAAAATTTACATACTTAAATTTACTATTGTTTCATTTCTTCAAAAGCAAAAAGTTAATGTAATACATTGCTTTGTTTAAAAGATAATTTCTATAGACAGATACTTGATTTAAAAAAGCAAAAAATCATGACGTTGAAGGATCACGGAGCAGCAAGTAGCAATATAATTTTGTTTTGCATTTGGAAACTTTTAAAACAAACTCCGAAAATGCTGGAGAGACCAGGAAAAATACATAAAATGAGCCGTGTATTTATTTATAATGGAACAGACAATTTTTGAGGGGTAAAGACTTTAAATGGGGCGATGGGCGTTCTGCAAAAAACAAATTATATTTCAAAATATTTTCAAAAGAATTGGTAACGTCATGAAACGTGATGTGCACTTCACTGTTGCGGAACTTGTAAGGGCAGAGTTACATGGTAAAGGATTTGAAAAATTGACAATCTTATTTAAATCATACTCAAATACATTTATGTATAAAAATATATGTTCTTTAACCGTTATACTGTTTTTGACCGTGCTCCTATAAAAATTAATTTTGATCTTTTTTACATTTAAAAATGTACTGATATTAAGATTTGTAAAAATAATGTGATGATAAGGAACATTGTCTACGTATTTTTTGAATGACCCCCGTATAGCTAAACATTCTTGGCTCTATCGTGTGAAGACGGGGCATTTTTTGGAAATCGGTACTTTACGTATAAAGTTATGCAATTCTTGTAAAATACAATCAATTATACATTTATTAATATAAATCCAGCCTATAAATATTAATTTTGATATATACATTTAACCAACCTATAAAAATTAATTTTGACCAGTCTAAGTGGAATATATACCAGGTATATCATGGGCTGCTCTCCTTCATGTTGTCTTTTATAATTGGTACATACATGTATTACATGCTTAAAAAATTCTTTGTTTGCAGTTGCCGACCTATAATTTTTAGACTGGGTCGGTAGGTAGGCATTTTTTTTTTTTTGGAAAAAAAAAATCAGATTTTTGTTCGATAACAATTAAAAGACGTTTTCATACACCTACTAGACATAAATTAGCTCACCTCTTATAAACTACTGAATGATTAAAAACGTGTCAAAATTTGAAAACGAAACTGTTTCAATATTCTGAAAAATTAAAGAAAAAAAATCAAATTACCAAACGGCTAAAAAAAAGTTTGGGTCGGGTGCATTTTCAGTGGGTCGGTCGGCAACTGCAAACAAACTTAATTTTATTTTAGGCCTAAATGATTTTCGGTATGAGATATATTTTTCACAGAACTTTAAAATGGGATTTTCAATCATCCGACTGCTATTGGCTGCACTCTCTTTGATGTTTATTGGATCTGTTTGCGGAATTCTGTCAGACGAGTCGTCATTGGTCAAAACAAATTTGGAACACCTGCTTTGTATGTTCAATGATTAAGTAGTTTTATAATTCAGAATTATTAAATTATTTGTAATACTGTAAAATCACGTATTTTCGTGGGATCAAGTTTTCGTGGTTTGAGAAAAAATATGGGTTCATCGGGATTTTATTTCATGGATGAAGAAACGCTAAGTAGTAATATATGTGAAAATTATTTTATCATAGTGTATAAAAATGAGTTTCTTTATACCTCAAAACCACGAAAATTAACCCCCACAAAAAGCAGTGATTTCCCCGTAAATGGATTATTGTAATGATATATTCTCAATGACCGTGTAATGTAGAAAAGCGCCGCTAGAATTCCATCGGCATCGAAAGCAAGTTTTTTTGACTTGCCTAGATAGCCGAGCGGTCTAACGCGCTGTTCCTGTACTGCTAGGAGTCAGATTCCGAAGGTCGAGAGTTCAACACCGGGCTGGGGCGGAAGTGGGTATATATATGTTACAGTAAATATGTGTAATCGGGAATTTCATGTACATTGTATTCCCTAAACAATTTAGTAAATACAGGTATTTGGCCGTTTTAGAAAGTATGCGTAATTACTAAATTGCTAGGAAATTCATGTATTAACTGAAAGTTTTAGCCAATTTTACACGTTTTTACTGAACTAAGCTAGATAAATATACATATCCTTAAAACATTCCGTAAGTACATGTATACAAATACCGGTACAATTTTTTTTAAAGCAGCATTTTATAAGAACTGTTTTATAAATCTGACGTTATGCATTAATGTTGAATTTCTTTCTTAACTGCTAATGTTAATGGATTCCCTGATATTCAAATATATTCGTAAAGAAGATATTAATTTGAACTATTAAAATATGAGGGTGGAAAATTCCTTTTCGTAAAGTTTCATCTTGAATTACTGACTTCAATATCGTTAAATAATGTGAATTTTCCAAGTTTTATGCATTTTTGAGGAGATTAAATGATTATTTTTTTTTAAGATTTCAGCCAGGTAGCATCGATTTTGAAAGTGGGGGGGGGGGGGACAGGCACAGATTTTTTTTTGTTACTTACCTGTAAAAGTTGACAAGCAAAAAAAAAAAAAAAAAAAAAGTAACTTGCCCGAACTCGAAAATCCTATTTCGTGGGGGGTTGGTTGGGGGGGGGGGTTCCATTATTAGTTTCTTTCAATAATCATTTTTATAAGCTTACGGTACTAATGCAAGGCGCACCAATTAAAGTGGGGGGGGGCAACCAGACTTTCAATGAACATTTTCAATAGTAAAAGTATTGTTGGCAAAAAAAGTTGCCCCCCCCCCCTGTTGCTACGTCCCTGGATTTAATAACTTCAAGTTAGTGAAAGTATGCTGTGATTTAGAAAACACATTCCAGAAATTGAAAGCAGAAGATCTTTAAGTTTTTTAGTCAATGTTTACAAATAATACAATTTTTAAAATTGATAAATAATCAAAATTTTATTTCAAATATTATTTATTCACGCATGATAATTATGCTAACTGATATCAACATTTAATGCACTGTGCATGTGTTTATATATTATAATTCATATTTTAAGTCTGAAAATATGTGTAAAAAGTATGGAAAAAGTGCAGTAAATACGTGCACTCCCTAACTGAAATTAGGAAAATACTACGTGTATTCCCAAAGCAGAATAGGAATTCCATGTATTTCCTATATGGAAAGCACTAAAAAAACCAGCAACACTATATATCCTAAATGTCGGATCTACCGAGATACAAGGTCACGGATGGAAATTTATATAAAGCACTAAAAATGACCAACGACATGAACAATAAAAATTGTCAAAAAAAGCACGGATGGAAATTTATATAAAGCACTAAAAATGACCAACGACATGAACAATAAAAATTGTCAAAAAAAGCACTAAGAAATTCACTTTTACATGGATACTCACTTCGGCCCAGCCCGGGATTGAACTCTCAACCTTCGACTTGCCTCTAGATAGCAACGCGGTCTAGCGCGCTGTTCCTGCACTGTTGGGAGACAGATTCCGAAGGTCGGGACTTCAACCCCGGTCTGGGGCGTAAGTGGGCGTAAGTGGGTAGCCATGTAAAAGTGAATTTCTTTTTGCTTTCTATATTAATATTTTTTCACTTTAGGGCAGTTATGTTAGTTTAAGAGTTGTTATAAATTGTGCTTTATATAAATATATATATTTTGATTTTTTTTTTTTTTTGTAGTAGAGAATAATATTCTCCCATATCTTCAGAGCATTCCAATTCCCGAACAAACTGGCAAGAAAGGTTCTGTTCAATACAAAGCAAGCAAGTATGCACTTTCATACGCTGATCTAGAGGGGGTGGGGGTGGGGTGGGGGGTCGGAGGGTGGTGACTTGGACCCCTCCTGGAATTTTGAAGAGTTATTTAATGCATAATTACACTAAAGCTATTAAAAGTGACCTTGAATCCACCTAGAAAACGCGGATTCCTCATAGAACACATAGATCTATGTGAAATTGGTATGAAAAAGCATTGTATGAGCTTTTAAAAATCATATCCCCCCTAGACACACAAACGAAATTTTCATGTTTGGGAAATGAGTTTACGTTCTTTTTCTAGACATTTCCAGGTTAGAATTTATTATTTGCCTGGGCATTGACCCCCCCCCCCCCTGGAAAAATCTTGATCCGCACCTGCATTTTCAGTCATTTAAGCTGTCAATAAAATTTGAATGTTGATGTGTCTAAAGAGTCTTAAACTGATATTGCTTTATTTTTGCAGTTTTCGTATAGAAGCTTTTACTCTTCCAAAAATCTCAGTGCAAAATCTTCAACAGAATCCACTCATTCTGAAATTGACTGTCGAAGGTGGGGGAATAAGCGGAAAGTTTGACTTTTGGTTCAGATATAAAACATGGCTGTAAGTCTGAGAGAGAGAGAGAGAGAGAGAGAGAGAGAGAGAACTTTACTACACCCTAATATTGTTTTTTCCTTCGATCGTTATAAAATAGTTCTGTCTTCTATACAGACTTAGGCACACAGATGATGGATATGTAAATTTGAGTGCAGGTAAAATCGGATTGGAAATAAAAGTAACAGCAGGTGTGTATATGTTATTTTGAATTTAAAAAATACGTATATATATATATATATATATATATATATATATATATATATATATATATATATATATATATATATATATATATATATATATATATATATATATATTCTCCTAAACCTTGCTTCTAATATTATATTAGACATAAAATGATATTCATTTGAGTGAAAACGTGAAATTATATAAACTTTTTTTAAAACCAGATTTGGCCAATAAGTCCATTCAAGTTAACAGTTGCAGTAGCCCCCGTACTTCTATACGCCTGAAATTCCATGGAACAAGATGGGCTTGGATTTATAATATTTTTAAAGGAATACTAGCAAATGAACTAGAGAAAAGATTATCTGGTTCTGACGGCCTGGTAGGTATCATTTACTTTTATGAAAAGGAGCATACGGCGCGTGTGACCAGTAGGCAGGGGATGGTCACTCCTCCATGGCACCTTATCACACCTGTTTTGGAGTTTTGATGTTGATGTTCTGGAGGTCCATGTTTGCTCCGCTCCTATTTTGTATTGTTTTACGGACTTTTGAGCTTGAATACTCTCTATATTTCATAAATAAATGTACAAGATTAAAAAATATTAATAATCATATTATATTCCACTTTTTTCGAGAATAATTATTGAAAAGCTATATTTTATTGCTTGAACAGATTTGTAAGGGTGTCACAAAGGCCATTATAAGAGGAGAGAAAAAAATCTTCGACAAGCTGGAAAAAATTCAAGGTAAATACCCCCCCCCATTTTAATTCTTTATTAAAATATGAGTATTAATAATCGATGAAACAACACATTTTTTAAATATATTATGATGTATAGACAAATATTTTTAAAACTAAATTACAAATTCTACAAATTGTATTTCAGGCTAACCTATCGAAGTCCATTGTCTTCGTTGTTTGTCATGAACATAATAAACCATGTTTTATGACAGTTACTCTAGTTTGTTTCTTGTTGATTTTTCAAACAAAGAGCTGTTATAACAAATGTGAATTTTGACGTGACTTTGATGCAGATTTTTGGATACATGTTTGAATACTGTAAACCAATTTTATTCGCCTTGACTTCACTTCGCGATTTACCAGGTAAAAACTAGTTCATGACGATTAATTTTCACGATCAAGCCTATTTTGGATCTGTTTTCCTGAGGGACATAGACTTTAAAGATCAGTTCCAGGCGAGAACTTTTCGCGATGACAGAGCTCTTGCTAAAATATCTCAAACGCAAAAAAGTTGTTTTACAGAAATTCATACGATCGTCGATTTTGGCAAGGTTTTGGAAATACAAGATTGCTGTAGAGTGTGCATGTCCTGGACATTTTGATGCACATTTTATTTCTCTTCCTTGGTGTTCATTTAATGTTGCTACATTGTATTCATAATCTAGGGTCATTTGTCTACAGACTTTAAATTGATGTTTGATTTTGACAAGGAGCACAAGACGAGTGATGTGTCTGGTCAACAGTGGATGCTAAGCCCTCTATGGCAACAGATCTCCCACCTTCAACGGTCTTAGGGGTCCGTGTTTGCATTTTTCCAAATTTTGATATTGATTCTTACCATCTGTGGACTTTTGGAATATGATTCTGTTGGTTTTCTTCACATAACCAGTAATATTTAGGTGTCCTTTTCACTATTGGCATTGTATTAATGATATCATTTTTTCATCCTTCACATGCATATACTCGTACAAGTCTATAAAAAAATAAACAAATTAAACATTTCGTTCTCAAAACAATAGATAAGCAACATGCACAAAAATAATTAATTACATTAATAAACTTCGAAAATATATACAAAATCATTATAATGACTTACATATAGAATATAACATTTCCAAACACATTTTGCAATAAATCCTAATTTGACCACACACTCAATGGCAACAATCTTGTCTAAACTTTGCGTATATGCACGCATAATGCAGTTTTTATGCTACTAAGCTGTATATATTATAATTAATTTAAATACCGGTAAATAATTTTTCGTACCTTCAAGAGAGATCATAAATAAAGGATAAAAATAAATCAAGTATACTCAAATTGCAATTCAAGTGATTGTTCATTGCTTTAGAGTACATGTTACTTCAAATTATAATGGGACTTAGATTACTCTTTCAAATGAAACCCATCTATATCTATCTTGTGCAATGAAAATTTTGTAACATGTGAGTATATGTTTAGTAGAATCTTATCCATGTATTTTAACTGTGTAACTCATATACTGGTAGTTTTTGTCAATCTTTGTTGCACAAAAAATAATAATTATAATTGTTTACTTCATGACATACTTTTACTTCGCCTTAACAAAATTATCATACACTTTATATATATAATCTCCACCTCTCTCTCTTTCGATCTCTTTTCTTATTCTGATTAAATATAGATATACAAAGATGATCTCACAAAGGGATTAAACAATTAAACACACAATACATTTAATCTGTTTAACTTTTAAATTAGATTGTGGTTTTATTGCCCTAGGAATTAATTTTATTTTATAAACTTTGAGGTAGTCAACGAATAACATGTTCAAGGTAATTCTATTTTTTCCTCATGTTTGAGCACGCATATAAATTACATGGTTATTTTGTATCTAATAGATTCGTTATCATGCTCCTAAAATGTACGAATAAATGGTATCACATAAATGTATATTTGTCGTACACAAGAGTATTCGTATTAGGTGGAATCGATATATTCATTATTAATATGAATAAATTTTCATTATGTACGCATGTAGTACAACTTAATTATTGCTTTTTCAAAAACTAAAGCGAAAAAGAAAATACTTTGTACAAAATGCTAAGATCTAATAGAGATAGAGAAAATGTTTAGCCTTTTTATATTTCACTTTTTAAGGCAATTGCACTTTGAAATAATTCTAAAAAAATAAAAGAAAAAAATATTCCTTAAATAAATATTCATCATTATTTGGGGAAAAAATTATCTCGAGAAAATTGTAATAACTGTAATTGCAATAAGACTAAATGATATTAGATTGACAAATCAAACTGTTAAGAATTGCAGTATACATCAAATTATATGTTCCATTTTCAAAGTTGATACATTTTTAAGGCTGTTAGTCTTCCAGAAATTCAGACATACTTTTTCTTCTACATTTAGGATTATTCTTCCAACTTAGATCTGAAGCTCTTTTTTGCATAAAAATTGATATACAACAAAGTCTGTGTAGGGATTTTTTTTTCGAATAATTTGATTTATCTCACAAATAAAATTGTATATTTTCTTGATTTTTTCATTATTGTCAAATAAAGAGAGATTTTATTTTTGCTTCATTATGAATAATATTTATTTCTTATGGTGAATAATGCCATAAGTTTCTCTCTAAAGAAAAGACTTAGGGTCAAATTTTGCTTATGTAATCTTCGTAAAATATTTTTATATATTGTACATTTGTAGACAATAAAATAATTCTTAAGGACAGATGATACAAACAAAAAATGGATGCCTGGATTGGTATATATTTTATGGCCTTATTTCATTGCAAATGCTGCAAATGATAAATTTCTAGAATATAAAGAATTTGTAAACCTTCTTTGATGTTCAAAAGTCTACCTGTCTGAAACCAAATTTATCAATCTATAATTTTCACTTTAAATTCCATTTTTGTCCGAATTTGAGTAAAAGTTAAAAACTACGCGGTGAAAGTTATTCATTTTATTCTTTAAAACATGACCCAAGTTGTTATTTTCAAATTCTTTGACAAAAGTTTGTTTGTATCATCTGTCCTTAAAAAGAAAAGATGTGAAAGAGTACTTAATTCCAATATTCGATACAAATATTAACTTATCACATAAAGTTTTTGTTAATATCGAACAGTTTTACAAACCTAGTGAAACACGTAGTAACAAGTGCTCATTATAATTTTTTTCGTACACAGTCTTTCTTCCTCTTTCAACAATTTTCTTATTTCTCAATTTTTTATGAATAAACTTTAAATTGATTAGAATTATTCAGTATCGGCATTGTCTAAGCATACTAAGGGAAGGTTAAAGACTTAAAGTAATCACGTTTATCATAGAGCTTGGTAGTTAGATTACCATTAAGGTCTTCTTCAAGTAAAATATCTAAATATGAAACAAATGTGTCCGACTCTGGGGTATCTCTTATAATAAGCTCACTGGGATATATTGTATCGATGTGAGAATGGAATTAACCATAATTGTTAATTGACAATACGTCATCGATATATCTAAATGTCGAGTTGAAGGCAACAGCCAGCATTCTCGTCTTTGAAGTTAACCTTGACAAAGAAAGACAACGGGCAATTTTCAATCTGAGGAGCCCACGTGAGCATTTTTACTATGATGAGCTAACAAAATCTTAAACCAACATGTACAGCTCAACGAACTTTTTAAGCTCACATGGTTTGTCGCACAAATTAAGGTCACATTGTTTTGATGTAATATTGTGTATCGAGGCATCAAAATACATTTTAAAAGTACGTATTTGTTTACATTTTTTGAGTTTTACCGGGGGTATTTTATTTACTAAAACGTAATTCACACATATCAATTGGTACAACTTTGATATTTTCATGGCTGAAAAATAACAACCACTCTCAAATGAATTTTTGTCGTTTCTTGCCAATTGCAACTGTCTTTTTTATCCGTTCTTTTGAAAGCAATAGTTCTTTGCAAAAACGTAGACATGGGCACAGTTTAATTACTGTAACTTGTATTTTCTGTACATTTTGACTCTTTAGCTCGGGGTGATAATAGTATTTTTCATCTGTTTGACTGCCTTGTATGTTAATAAGGTGGGGTTTTTCAGAGTCAACTTCTAAAATCTGGACTCATGAGAGATTCATCCCACTGCAAAATTCTAACCTTTCAAACCGTAAATGCAGAGGGATTTTCCTTTTCATAGAAGGAATTTACTTAAAAAAAAATAAATAATACTTCATTATCCTACCCTTTTATGTGGTTTCCTTTTGCAATGTTACCCCTTTTCGGCGCTACATTTCGACAAAACCAAGAGGAGTATGGTAAATGAACAAAATTTTTTTAAAACTACTCACTGTTAAAAAGAAAATTTAATAATTTCAACTACTTGGTATCAAGGAAAGTTCGTTTTATACAATTGTTAAAAACCTATGGTAAATTCGTAGTCGAAATATCGTAGCATTCATATATAAATTCCCCCTAAAACATCAACTTTGGAAACTTAAGATAATAATTCTAAAAGACATACATGTATATGCTTGAACATTATATATGTATTATGACGTAAGGTTTTGTCATTGTACTGCAGTTTGAAAATGGTAATTTTTATTACAGCAATGTGACCTTAATTTGTGCGAAAAACCATGTGAGCTTAAAACGTGCGTTGAGCTGTATGCATTCAACAAATTCTACAGTCTTACATTGTAAATAAAAAAAATCTACTCTGAATTTACAATTACTGAACAAATTTGTGTGTAGAAAAGGAAACAACTTGTTTAGAATTGCATATCTGTATTTACTGTAAGAATATTGTAAGAGTAAAATTGTATATCTAGGAATCCCTTAAAATATCATTTGTGAGAAATATATTTGCAACTGTGTTTTTTTTTCTCTCAAATCCTCTGCATTAGTATTTTTTAATATAAAATGAATAACTGGGAAGGTTGAACAAAAAGTGAATACTTAAAACCAATTCTGAGAGTAAAAAATATTTAGTTTAAAATATATTTTATTCATAGAAATGGATTTATCATATTACTATAAAGAAGCTCTTGTATTTTAAAGAACAAAGCGCCGTCTTCTGGTTGAAAAGGGCAAGTGGAATTGTACCTAAATAATAAATGTCTTTGAACGATTTCGATATTATATAATTTGAATAATTATTTTACTTTATTTGAACAAAATAAAAAAAATGTCTTTTTCGCAAAAGAAATAAAAAGAAATGTGGATAACATCCGCTGAGCAATATA